TTTTTATTTATTTATACAAATAATCGATTGCATTAAAAATAAGTTTAATATATCCATTGTTTGCTCGGCAAATAAATATATTACAGAATATTCTCTATTATATAAACAAAAAGTGTATTTCTATAGAAATAAATGTTGAAATTTATTGTTTTTTAAGTTTTTTATTTTGAATAATTGGTTATTAATGATTATGTTGTTATAATTTGGAGTGTAATGGCCGGGAAGGGCCGGCGTATCCATTATGATAACTATGTGTTTGGTCTTCGCCTCTGTATCTCAGACTCCCATTCAAAACAATATAAATCGAAAAATAAAATATATTTTGTCATTTATTTGTTTTATCAAAAGTTTTAATATACAGTATATAATAAATAACATTTATTATTAGCTTTTATGTAATTTTGTCACGAATTTATTATTATTATTATTATTCGTTATTTTATTTTGTCTCATTTCTCTGAATAAATAAAGCAAAAACTTTTCATTTCTTCATTTTGTTAATAAGTGTAAAACTTTTAAATAAGTTTTCAATGCACTTATATTGAGATTCTTGTCGTATAATGTGTTTTTGTCTAAATATATTAAATAATTTATAATAGATTATAATTTTTGATATACATTATTGTGAATATAATTATTTTGCAATTATTAATAAAATATCTACGGAAGTCAACAGATCAATAGTGTCTACCTGTGCTCACGTGTATAGGAGCCCAACCCTCGGTCCGTCTGTTTAAAATCTCATAGAGTTTGAGACTTTTTTCGCAACATTTGTGATTTTATTTATAGCACTCATTGTCTGTCAATTGCGCTCATTGTTAGTCACTATTCAATAATGTACTTATTTATACATTTAATCAATATAGAAATACTTGAGCATTTATACATAAGTCTATGACAACTTATATAGTTCCTTTAACATATAAGTTAATTAATTAATTACACAGAATAATTTATTCCGGTGTTTCATCAAGTTTATTAATTATTTCCTACTATTATACCATATGACAGAATAAAAGGGCGTGTCTGGATCTAATCGGTGGCCACGGGTTGGCGAACCACCATTTGGGTCGGAGCAGTCCGGGCAGTCCACCGCCGCAACCGTCGCCCGCGCTTATGAACGAATTGCTGGCGAGCATAGGGGCGGCCAATGGGGGCCGTCTGTCCCCTTCATCGATGGCGTTGATGTCATCCCAATTACAAATGCATCAACTGTTTCAGTCACATGTGCTCAGCCCTAATCAGTTACAATCGATCATCCAGCAACAGCTCCTACAACACAATAAGGTAATTATATAATATTTTATATTATATAATTCCACATGTCTTATCAGAAATGTTTATTAAATTCTATTTATATTTCAATTTTTATTAATTTTTTTTTGAGTCCACTACAATAAATTGCAAACAATAATACTTTGTTATTAACATTAACCAGGGTGCTGATGCGGTGATACCACAGCTCCAGGAGCAATTACAATTGAACATGGTACAACAAGGACAACTCTACAATCAATTGACATCAAATAGTAAT